TTTTTTTTTTCTTTCTTCTCATTTTCTCTGTTTGCTCTGGCAGGCAGTCAGTCAATGTCTTTCTGTAATTGGAGATGATTTCTTCATCAGTCATATGTTGTCTTGTGTTGCGCTGTGTGCTGTTTGTTGTATTATATATTTTAGTGTACTGTGTGTATAGTTCGCTTGGGTTTTCTTGTTGTTGGTGGGGGAAACATATGTGGGACATACACGCTTAAAAATTCACAAACTGTTAAATGATCTCAGATTACTTATTGAAATAAACAAGCCTTAACGGCACAACTACTCATACACACGCACAATACAATGTTTTTAAAACCCGTCACCGAAAAAAGCAAAAAAAAAAAAATAAATAAATAAATAAAAATAAATAAATAAATCGAAAAAAAATATTTTATTTTATATATATATTTTTTAAGAAGGGGGAAAATTTATTTCGTTTAAAGATCATCTGTCTTTGTCTATGCGTTCAGTTCGGCACACATCAGCTACTCTTGAGTGTGGTATTATTGTTGTTATAATTGTGTTGATTTTGTTGGTGATGCTGCCGCTAGCTGCTGCTACTTCGCAGACATCTTAACTAAGGGTACTTAATTTAATTTGTCGATTTTTTTTTCTTAAAAGTTAAAAAACCTATATGTATATTAATCTCATATAACGATCCTTGTTTTGTTTTCTTTTTAATAAGAAATTTTCGGCTTATGTTTTTTTCCTTAAATTTTTTTTATTATTTTTCAAAATACATCTGTTTTAAATATGTGCTCGTTTAGTAAATTTTCTAATTAAGAACACAATCTGAAAAAATACAAAATTTCCGTTTGTCATTCGAATACAGTTTACAGTAGGGATATTCGTCTCGTTTCGTTTGTATTTGTTTGTAAGTGTCAAGAAAGCAATATGATATTCTCTCTGATGTGAAAGATGAATCATTCTCACTTAGGACGGCCCTTTTACACAGAACATGAAATCTTTCAATATTTCTCCCGAAAAAAACGAAAATTCGAGTCATTAGAAACCCGCTATACACTGTCATATTAGTAGGGTCTTTACCATTAAAATCATATTAAAAATCCAAAGTTATCAAGGAAAAAAAAGGTAACAATTTTTTGACAATTTATTCCTTCCACTATGGCAGAAGTCTATGTAGACAAATTTAGCCCTATATATATAATAAGTCCATTGTGAATCTGGCACAGGA